GAGAGTAGTAATTTTATTTGCTCTATGTAATGAACAAAGGAGGAACTACAAACAAGATGAATCGTTATTCAGTTATCAATAAAATATTTTAAATTTGTCAACTGTTTAGATTTTAAAATTAATTAAACCGTGACTTACCAGTTTAATTTTGTGTTGGCTTTTATGTATCTCTAAATAAAACAGACTTCAATAATAAAGAAGACAAAATGATAAGTTACGACGATCTAAAACATAAACAAATACTCTACGAGGTTAAATAAATGAAGGGCGGCCGAGTGGAACTTTTAGTCGCTGATAAATGACATACGTGTAGTACAGAAAAAGGTATCACAAAAAGATTTAATCAACTAAAACGACTCGTTACTTAATTTTGGTCTTTGAAAGTTTGTGATGATTACTTTGATCTCAAGGATACCGAAATATGGAACAAAAATATTATAAATTTTAAGAACTCAAAATCAAAATTATTTATTCAGTCAAGGCTGTTACACGCACTTGTGAAAGTCGAGAGTCAAGAGCTCTTGTTCCACTTACCCCTTACTTTGGACAGATTCTTAAATTTTGAGGCTAAAAGTAGAATCCAAGCTGTTCCAGCCAGAGTATTATAGAATACCTAATATCTTCTCATCAAACCATAATGCTTGAAAATGATGGTGATATACGGGCGGTTTCTGAATTGAGAAAAGTACAAATCATTAAATAGACTAAAATCAGAAACGAAAGTCTGTTGAAGTGACGTTTAAGGGTTTAAGTGCCTACGGTTTGAGACGTGCTTAACTTTAAATTCTCAATTCAGATACCGGGTGATACTATGATAAAACGTGGCTACTCATAATACGATTAATACATCAGTTTAAAGTCGCTCAGTGAGCCTAGGGCCACGTGTTCTGCTCGGAGTTTCTCGAAAGTATAAAACTCGCAACGATTAGCAAGCTCAAGTGAAATCTAGCCATATCTATAAATGAACCAACAACCTTTGGAGTAAGCGAGTTCTCGAATAGACACCGGAAGTCGGCAAATGTAATGGACCAAATATGGGACGACCTATGGGACGGACGTAAGGCGGGAAGATAATTTGTGGAATTTCACGAAAATAAATGGAGCGTATTGCGGGAGGACATGTTCAGGTGGTCTTCTGTCGGATGATGATGACGATGATTTATTATTATTACGATATTTGATTAAAGAATGAATTATGCCTTTTTTGTAATAAATATTGATTTGGTAATAATAAGATTAATGTTTTTTCTAATATCATAATACTAATACGTTTATAATAGAGTTAATACGTTGCTTGGTCCCATTTTCTTGTCGTTCAAAAGACGTCTCGTATAATTAGTAAGTAAACAAATGTTAAAACAATTCGAAAAAATATATAACCTTATTAAATTAATTACTTAATTTACGAGGCTCTTGATCTTTAAGTACAGTCTACAGTACAAGACAGTATAGTTTAATCGTCTAATAAAACAAACCGAATTACGTGATAATGAAAAATACATTATCTCTACCAGGAGTTTAATTAATTTGAAGTTACTAGAGCGCCATTCGAAATTTAATTACACGATGCCGTCACAGCAATTGACTATAACCCTCTCTTCGCTATTTTCCTTTAAACACAATTGTCATTCCGTTTTGTAGCCTTTTGTTCGTGATTTCACACGGTATTTGCAACACACACAGATAGATCGTTCATTGTTAACGTCATTGCTTTATTAAAACGTCAATTTATTATCTATTCAATGGAGAAGTGAAATAAAAATTATAAGGTTATCATGTCTATTGATATACAAAAACAATGTCATCGAGTTATTATAGTGATATTTTTTTAACGTGCACGATCCGGTCAACAGAACATGGAACTCGTTCAACAAAATTTGGAATTATCTACTACCAAATAGTACTTACTCAATTATTCTGGGACCAACTGCTTAACGGGCCTTTCAAAACACGGAAGAACTCGAGATAGTAGAGTATGGTTACCCATCCTACCTGCCGACAGCGACCTTCTGTCTGCTCTTTACCCCAAAAGTGAGGGTGCATCGGAAGGGAATTTTGTGAATATACTATCCAAGTTTTGACTTGTCTTCAGACGGATTCATACGGATGGAGAGTCCCACACATCCCCTATCAAGTGGCAGCTGGTCACTCATCCTATGACAGCCCCTAGCAATAGTTGCCTAAATTTTGGATCGCTTTTTAAAAAACAAGTTTTTTTTTTTCAATCTGCGTCTTATTATTTTAATGCAAACTGTTAGAAAAATTACGAAGATCTTACTAAGAAAAATATTGTTTTAATTTGAATCTTTACAAAGTAGCGTATTTATGAAAATAGAATAAAAACATTGCACGTAATAATTCGCCAACAAGAGATAAGCTTTATCAAAACTGTCGTTCTTATTTCTACTATTTTTATCTCAATGCAAATAATGAAAAAAATTTCATTGTGGAAAATGCAAATTGTATTCAGTCTTGCAGTATTTTAAACCTGACATTAAAAGTACTTCATTTTAATAGATGAAGAAATGAAGCAGTATTTTACTATTTTCAATTTCAGTGACTTAGGCAAAATCTGTTATTCTCATTTGCATTGTACTCGTAATAAAAAGCGTAAGTTGTAAATATGCCGTCAACTTTAATTAATGAATAGATATAAATTATTAAGCTTCTGTGTCTTTAAAAAGGACGCTCAATACAATGTACGCAAATTCATAGATCGCAATTATTATTTTCAACCTGATTGCAAATGTTATCATTAAAGTTTAATGACGACTTTAAGCTCTAATTAATGTTCCAAATTTGAATGGGTAATGTGGCGTTAAACTAATGGGAATTTTAATGAACGATTGTGCAACTGGCTGTTAATCTTTAAAACGGATAGCATTAACCACGCACAAGTACCCTGTGCTTACGTGCTGTATTAGTTTCTTAATGTCATCCTATTGTTTGCTTATTTTTTGCATCAATAGCGATGCTTATTGAAAACAAGTATTTGACACGCCTTCCCGATCGCCAGTGTTAGACGAACTACGACACAAAGCGTACATCGTTCGCTCCCTCCATACAATAGGGATGACGACTGGGTAAAAATAATGCAATTCTATTTAGTCCGTCAGTCAGATAAAAGAAAAATATTAGATACGTATTTTTTTTACTTCAATTTAACAAGAAATAGCTTAGACAACAGGCATTAAATTTGAGGAGTGGGGGCTCGCTACGTCACAGTTGAGCAGAAAACGTACCATAACGTGACGTCATGCAAAATTTCAACTCCATGTAACGCCGTAATTTTATGATTACGAAAAAAAATAAAAAGACACGTGTTTAATATTTTTTAACACTCTACCTGACGGACAAACAAACAAAAATTAGTCATCATCCCTATTGTATGTTTTTATCTGCCCGTGCACCGATTGTTTTTTAAATTATAATTTTTCATTTTACACCTTCTGAAAGTAGAGTACTGGGTGGCATTAATCACAGCGGAGCCACCCACAAATATTTTAACTTTGTTACATGAAAATGCAAGTTTATTAATATCCACTACTACCTATATTTATTTTTAGATCGTCCTGAGCTTATTCTATTATTATAAATTCTTCGTTGTCTTTATGTTGTTGTCTATTACAAGAGTATGTCTGGATAGTTTCCTAACAGAATGAAATTTAATATTTTCTATTTTTATACCCGCTATATTAAAAAATATTGAGTAAGTCAATAAATTTGATCCCATAGCGGCTACTCAAATGCCCATACATTTTTTTACTAGAACGGCTTAGTCTTCCGATGCACGGTAGAGCACGAAATAATAATATAATATTTTTGGTCACCCATCCTACAACCGGCGCCTACGAAAGTTATAAGAAATGTCTATGGTCAAGTAAAGATATTGTGTTATTTTTTTATATTTCAAAAGACGCAGTTAAAAATAGACTGGAATGTACAAAAGAAAAACTCTATATATTTATCTATAGTGAAAATTATTAAACATCTATTGTTTAAATATGCTCCTTAATCATCCTTAAAGAAAACCATCCTCATGTTAAGTATTATTAAAGCGAACATTTTCGAAGCGAGTAATCGTAAAGGTTATGTATACATTACAAAGCCGATACTTTTTATTCCAAACAATACTCATCATCTGACGGATCTTATCTCTTATACTGGTCTCGTCTCATTTTCTCAAAGCTTTTAAGTATATCTATCACAATGTTACTTTAATTTCTTTCTCGGTAAGTAATTGGTTACGTTAAGATTATATCGTATACGTATTACTTTTCGACCTCACGGGATTCCAATATATTTCATGAATAGTACTCAAATAAAAACGGAACCTGGCGCGACGACAAATTAATTACAGGTATGCAAATATTCATGACAAAGGTATGCTTGTGTTTACGATATAAGGACGTTAATAATGTTGTTCCCTATTGGATTCAGGCACGCAAACGCAGTCGAATAGCTAGAAAATAAATTATTGCGTCATCAGTCAAAGTAACTTATTTATCATTAAAGTTGTTTCACTAATAGATACTTGTTCTTTCTTTATCTTTCCGAATCAGAATCATTGGAGGGTTTTATGAGAGATGTAATTTTATTATTGTATTTTACATAGTTATGTTAGTTGCATGTGGTTTGAATATTATAGCGGTATGTAAAAGATATTTGTACAATATGCTTCTACATAACTTTCCGTGTTTCTTATCAGACGATGTGTACATATTTTAACACATGTGACGCCCAAAGTTTATTGTGTGTCGACCGCGTTTCAAGGTTGACCTTCAAACTATTTTAAAATTATTAAACCTATACCAAAACAAAAACGTTTTTGCCAAATTATTTATATTAAAGAATAGATTGACGAGCTGCACAACATCCTCTACGTGATGGATCGAATAACAATAAACAAAACTAAGAGCTTTTTGTGGCCAATCAATCAAACGATGCCACACGAGCACTCTAAGCCGTTGCTAGATTGACTGTTTTCTTTTTTGTTATAGGTTGTGACGATGGCTCTTGATGCGAAATGGGCTGAAGTCGAGTTCGGAGTGTCGTCGACGGACCAGCGCCAATGACAACCCGGTGCAGTGGGGAGCGCGAGCATGGCGAACGCGACCGACGCGTACTGCGTGCCCGGCGCCACCGACTTCAACAAGGCTTACAGCCGACTGCACGGCTACATAGCCCTTGTAGTCTGCATCGTCGGCTCCGCCACCAACTCCATCAACATAGCAGTGCTCAGCCGTCGCGAGATGACCAGCTCGACGAACTCCATACTAACTGGCCTCGCTGTCGCCGACCTACTGGTCATGTTAGAATACATACCGTACGCTCTCCATATGAATATCAAAATAGGACCACAAGTGAACAAAAACACTTACTCGTGGGCTGTTTTTGTTTACTTCCATTCCATCTTCAGTCAAACTTTCCATACGATATCTATTTGGCTAGCGGTAACGCTGGCGGTGTGGCGTTATGTTGCAATTGCTTATCCGCAGAAAAATCGAACTTGGTGTAATAAGAGGAATACGACTCTAGCAATTGTGAGTGCTTACATTATATGTCCGTTTTTGTGTCTTCCCTTTTACTTTGCTATGAACATAGTGCCCAGTGAAGTGACACCACAGAATAATTCCGAGTTTGCAGAGGACCTCTCCTTACCGCATAATCGGACCGTGTATGTGTTAGAAATGTCCAAAAACGTTGAATTAGTGACAGCAATAATGTGGATTTACAGTGTCATATTAAAACTAGTCCCTAGTATAGCTTTATCAATATTAAGTTCATGTTTAATATCAAAATTAACAACGACAGAACGGAAGAGACAGAATCTACTTAAACGTTCTACTGTTGGACCAAATGAGGTGAGAATTCCCGATTTACTTTCAATATATGTCTACATAAAAAGTTTTGTACATTATTCTTAACAGCAAACGGAAGTTCTATGAAGTCAAAATCTTATTAGTCTCGATTGCCCCAGTGAACGCAAACAAAAAAAAAATTATGTTTGAACGGTGGCCAAATTATTCTTTGCCAGACATTCTTTTCATCCGTCGAGATTGATTTTGTGTTATCAGAGAATAACTTCCTTCAGTTTTCAATTCATCAGAAAGTTTTAAGCCTGCAACCTACTTTCAAATTTTGATACGAACAGTAATAAAAGAATGATTCTCAAATAAAATTAATTTCGTTATGTCACATTCATACGACAGCTTCGTGTCGTTCAGTTTTCCAACTATTAGTATAATGATGTTGTGGATCTCATTATTTTTCGGAATCTATTTTCGTGAATAAACAAACGATCACAGTCAAGATTCAGAAAGTGTTGGCACAGTCTACACCATATTTATTTATATATATGACTTGACTGGCACTATTGTTTTTTTAATAGCTCTTAGCGCAGTACCTATTCATAATAGTAGTTTATATCACTTTTAATAAATCAAATTGACGACTTTTGTGTCGAGTTGCTTGCAGGACGGTTTTAAAGAGTCACCATCTCTGAAGCTTCTGTGTCTTGAAATTAGGTTCTGTGGTACATTCATTGTTTCAGATACTCCATTAGCTAGGTGATCTTAGAATCTGAACAATATATGTGATATTGACTAAAATTTTTGTATTTAATAATTAAATTCTTTTTTCTTTATTTAGAAAGACGAAATTATTATATATATTAAATATTAAACAAGACCACATACATTGCTCAGATTCCAAGATGAGTAGCTAAAGCCCCCGTATTATGGAGTATCTGAGACAACGAAGAGTACCACAACACCCAGACCCGAGTCAATATAGAAAAGTTCATTTTCTACATTAACCCGACCGGGAATCGAACCCGGGACCTCAGAGATGGCGACACCTTGAAACCAGCGTGCGAACCACTCGGCTACGGAGGTTACGAATTAATTATAACGGGAAAATTACTTATTTCAATAGGTATATATTGAATTTTAAATTTACTTCCTAAATATTTTGCCTCGTAAGGAAGTATAAACTGAACGGTAGCGTAGTAAATTGGGTTTCCTTTTATTAATTTCTCCAAAAATAATATTTGTAAGGGTATTATTTTCAAATCAATTAGCGAGCTACATATATTTGATCGCAAATAATTACATAATAATACAATGGAAAGCTATTTCCAAAGCATATTATGTTGTGTACAAGAATTTTAATGAGATATTTAAGATTTTTGAAATTCAAATCTTTTTGACGAATGTTCACTCCATTTATAAAAAAGTAGAGTTAATTAAACTAATATTAAGAAGAGGAAAGATTTGTTTGCATTGAGTACGCTATGAAATTACTGGACTAATTTTTATAATTATCGCGGGAAAACAACAGGTGTTACAATAAAATTTAATCGTTTTAGACGTTATACAACAAAAGCCAGTGATAAATTTTAGTATATTTCAGTGTTACTTAGTAATCTAATGTAATTACCAAGCTCATGTAATTAAGTAGTAAAGAAACTATTCTAGTGGAGCAATCACTTCCGTAATTGAAGCCAACGCCACACAGAATTAACTTAGAATCACATTTGGCGTAAGCAACTAAATTCGTTGTTTTGTATACCGGTGGGTGTTGAAGTAAGTACGTTAATTATCTGCCGCAATAGATTATTGCGATAAATAATTAGTTACATACAAATTTGATCCATTACATTCTGCCTAGATTTCTAGAAATTGTTATCGCATTAGTACCCACGTACTCCATAAGAGTTTTGCTTACCTAAATTTCAAATCTCTGAGCATTCTAAAATTAACTCAGGCCCGGATCTACGATTTTATTAACCGGGGCAGAAACAATTATGCTTCGTGAAGCTAGATTTTATATGTTTCTTTAGGGATTTTGAAGCACGTCCGTCCCATCGTGGCCTAATGTTTATGAAAGAAAAGATTTGCAAAGTTCGTTCTTTTTTTAACAGTAAAAAGGTATTATGTAATTATGATTTTGGCGCCTGCTAGCACTGACGCCCGGAGCAAGTAGCCCCATTTGTCGCCCTTTATCTAGCCTGGGAAAACTAGCTTTCAACAAGTGGCCCGTGTGGTCCGTTATGTAGTTCAAAAGTTCTTGGTACAGACAGCGGGAAGTGGCTTTATTTTATACTATGTATAGAAGATGTGTTATTACATTGTAATTTTTCACAATGAGATAATAATATAGTCATTTTATCTTATGGCCTTCTAAGTACATACTGTTTTCAATCAATTCTTTTTAGTTTGGATTATGTTATAGAAACTATAATATCTTAGTACACGTACTAATCCAGGAACCATTGCATTGAACGCCAGGCCTCTCATGAGGGTGATTTCTGTGACCACACCGACAATTTATCTATGTGGATTACATTTAGTTAATAAATATAAAAAAGCTCTATGTGTTTTGTTGTATCGGAATGTTTCATATGCTTTTTGAACTAACGGATTTTGTAATATCATAGAGTAGGACGGAAGTAGAAAAATCACACAATATATAGAAAACTAATTCTTACAACTCGTTCATAAACTACGCCCATTGTGGATGCAGAACTATTTTAAAACGTAAATTATTCCGAATATCTCGAGAGGCAATTTTATTTCACTACCAAGTGCCAGTGTTCCTATATTTTACTGCTGTGGTATACATGATATCAAGTAAAATATTTTATTCGCTATTATGAAGCTTATATCGGATTTACGGCTAAACTACGAAAATATGTAAATACGAAAATATACTTTACCCGCTGTCTCCACACATACAACTACAAATTTTCGGACTTAAATTTGTTTAGTAACACTATCGCTAGTCTCAAATCACAAATTATAAAGAAATTTAATTGACGCTTTCGTAATTCACATATTTTCTTCCTTTGTAACAAATAGTAGTGTACATTTAATATACCTATAACTGTTACAATTTACTAAGCATAAGCATTGTTTGTAGCAAATTCTGGGTACTATTTGTCTTTTAAGTTTAAATATGCAATGTCATGTCACTTTATTGTAATGACTGTTTGTATCAAAATAAAGAGAAATCATATCAAAATAAATACCAAGGTAACATGCCTTCTTTTGTCAATCCACCATTTTAAAATCGATCTGACTTTCAACTAGAATGAATTCTCAGGAACTCATTAACCTTGTAATATGGAAATGGTTCAATGGATAAATTGCATAAATTTAATAAACGGACCTAAATTGACATACGGGTTGGGCTTCAGATTTCATTAAATATGCGGTCCCGGAATTGATAGATATTTTGTGAGAAAGATTTAGAATTCTAAATTTTGGTGATTCCTTTTAGCCTAACGTCACATAAGCGTTAATGAGATTACCTCTAACGAACGCACAAAAATAAATCACTCAGTAGGTAATACATACACAGTTTATAGTATAAATTTTATATTATGTGTTTCTAAATCACAGAGCCTGTTGAAGACACGAATATAAGCATTGCCAATGAAGTATAACTTACCGGTATATCTTCAGTATAATAATACCTTTTCTTTCGACTTACAAGACTGAATGGTGTCGTTCCCTTGACCATGAATCAATAGATAACATATAACTGTCACTGTCAATGTCATGGCGTTTGTAAATTGCCGGTAAAGTATGCAAAAAATTTGTAGTAAATTTACCTAGAAAAAAAAGAATATTGCTCATTTTTATGGCATTTTAATGCTCTAATCAGTGTTTATTGTAGGCTAATTGCCGAATCAAATGATTGCGGTCAATTAATTAAATTATTTTTTAGGTTTAGTTTGCTTAACTGCAATCGTGCAATTTATCTTAAAAAATGTAACTCCGTTGAATCACTCGTTGATTCCATTACTATTGTGTTAGTAATCTCGTTATTGCATTCGATTTGCGATTGTGGATAGTGAAGCAGAATAGTTTGAGTGTTGGATGGTTGACTAATAAATTTTTAAGCCGTTGATTGCAGTTGCTTCTACAGTTTTAACACCAACCTGCATATATTCTCCATATATTCTGTCTTTATATGATTTTATCGAAAGGAAGGCCTATGCTCTAGCTGTGGGGACGGTAATAGGCTAATAAAGAATGTTTAATCATATAAACAATGAGTTTTGGTAATTTTATGATGACTAAGATTATAACAGCTCATTTTAAATTAAGATGTCTCGACGATCAAAGCAAGCGATTTATGTGCAACATTTAAATAAGCAAACGCCTTATAAAGATTATTTCTTAAGAAACGTGCGACTTTTCATTTGTCTCAAATTTAGTAGTTATCCTCATACTCGTAATTACTTTATAAGGTGGCGAAAAAATTTATAATCAGTGCACAAATTTAAAAAATGCACAAATTACATAGTCATAGTCAAGGTTTTTTCTCTTTTATACACTAATATGGGAGGTAAAGAAACAAAAGATGTCTATAAACACGTGTATATTGACACCCCTACTAATATTTTCATAATAATTTTAATAGTAATGAATAAACTACAGTTATATGTATTGAAAAAAACACCGAATACTATAGGTATATCTGAAAAAGCGAAGAGAAAAAGAAGAATAACATGTCTTCAGTACTAATAGTCTACTAACAGTCTTTTTTTCTGTGCAGTTGTATAACATCAATGGCTTAACAAAACTTTCTATTCATTATATTTCATCAATTTTTACATTCACTGTGCTATATTAGAAAATATTCTTAATGAAAAAGGCTCGGGCGAAGTGAATTTTTAAGTATTTTTCATTAAAAATATTTCAAATTTTCTAATTTCTTCAGCCGATTTTGGGCATTGCTTAATGCATCTATGTTATACATAATGGACCAAGATATAGTTCCATGTTACGTGGATATTTTATAATCCATAGTCAGTAAAATAAATCAACGGCGAAATGTCAAGTTTCATAATGCC